ATGGATAGCAAAGGATGTTTATAAACATGGTTTGCAATTTGAAACCGTGGACGCTCTTTGTGCTGCAGTTGATGCATCCTGGGCGAGCATCCCAGGCACCCTCATGCAGAAGTTAATAAGGAGTATGTCAAATCGGATTTTCGAAGTAATTCACAAATATGGAGGATGTACTGAGAGTTAAATTGTCGTTGTGACTTATTTGTTCTGTATTTGCTATTTTTATTTACATGGTCATATCTTTATGGCCAACCAAAAAATCCTTTTTTCAATGTTTGTTTAAATTAATCAATTAAAAGCTTAAAATGTTTACTTTTTGTTGATAAACTACATTTTCTAATTAAATGTAAATGCTTCGCAAATATGTTTTGATTAAAGTAACAGTATTTTATAGGGCTTTTAACCTTTTTGTATCTGGTCTTAAGATTTTAACCAGGGGTGTATGTTCGTAACGTGAAACAGCCGAATTTTGATCTGAAATGTCTACTGTATAAGGTTAGAATACGGCAGAAAATTTTGGATGCTCTTCTCAAAAATGAAGAAGGGATTCGAGGCAACGGAGGTATGGTTCTACAGAAGGATGCTAAGGATATCATGGACCGAGTGTGTGAACAATGATGAGGTTTTGAAGAGGATGCAAACAAGGAGGAAGCTTATACTTAACATCACGAAGAGGCAGCTGAAATTTCTGGGACAGGTAATGAGAAAGGAGGGCTTGGAGAATCTGATACTCACAGGTCGAATAGAGAGAAATAGAGACAAGGGAAAGCAATAGATTACATACCTAGCGGGCTTAAGTGAATGACAGATCAGGGTCTAGGAAAAGTAGAAAAGGGACAAAACTTATTGAGAGTTTCAGGGGATAGGGGAAGTGGGGAGCCATGATCGACTACGTCCTGAAGGGACAAGGCACATATAAAGAAAGATATAGAAGTTTTAGGTAAACTTTATTTGCAAGTAAGTAGGATATCTTGAAATATAAATATGAGGACAATAGTCCGACTAATGTAAATACTGTACATAAATATTTGTTAATATTTTTTATTATTAGACCATGTAATTTTTTTAATTCTTGATTTAAAGTCAAAGAAGAATCTGCAATGTTATTGGTGTTGACTTGGCATGGTGGCTTCATTCAGACACTTTCTCACCGCAGAAATGTGGCTTCTTTACGACGTTTCTATTAATAGTTTCCTGTTAATAGTTCTGGTGATCTTTCATCTATGGTACCTCCATTTTATTAATTTAAATAATCGCTTATCGCTTGGGAATGCCAGAGAATGCCGCGTGCTGTAATGGATAATGGCTCGGCATTGTTAATCGGAGAACCGAGTTCTAATTCCAGTTGGGTTCGTTGTATTCACTTAGGAGCAACTACCCTTGGGAAAGATTTCAATCCACCTGTTCTCCAACCAGCTCTCAGTTAATTCGTAAGACTTGTATCACTAGACCCTCACAAAAAATTCTTACCATCTAAAAATATTTTCTGGCTTTAAATAACTTGCAAAGGGTTGATAAGCAGTAAAAAATCCAACAATCAATAAAACCTTCTGTAGAACCACATCTCTATTTCTTCACGTCACCTTTTCATCTCGAAGATAATTGTTCAGCATTCACTGCCATATAAGAGAATTGTTATTACATATCATTTCAGTACATTTTTCTTTCTTTCTCGCGAAAGTCTCTGATCGAGAGGTTTTCTGGAGCGTGGAACCACCTATTAATTGCTGTTGCTCTCAGGTCCATCCTGACCTGGAGTGGTAGCACTTATTAGAGTCCCAGCCATGACCAAATAGTTACCCCCATGTTATATAGGAATAAAGAATCGCTACTGACACTTGGGTTTGAACACAGATCACTAGAGAGCAAACGCAAGCGATCCCATTTTGAATAAGTAGATCACGTGATGGCAAAGGAAATATATATATATATATGGGAATTAGCGTGAGGTCTAAAGGTCCACTCTTTCTACTCTATTCGCTATTACTATACTGTTTCTCTATACTAATATATACGAATTACTATTCGGTGGTTACTTTTTGAGCGAATATTATCGAGCAAGTACTATTAGCGCGAGTGATATTCGATAGCGTCTGACACCAGTATTGTTCAACGGCGTTACTATAGTTGTATCTGCGATTACAAAGTCTCTACTACAATGATTTTCCCGAAAATGACAACTAGTATTCGTTGGCATTACAAAAGTGGCAACGAGTGTTCATTGACATCACAAAACCCCAAATTGGGTCAAAACACTATGAAATTATAAAAATGTTTATAGTAAAGATACGAAAAAAATATTTGTTATATAATACAATTACAAACAATACATATAGTGAAATTACCAAATTATTTCAAAACACTCAAGAAAAAAAAACGGCATTAAATGATCCATAAGGAGTTGATATGGTACTAAACTTACAAACTTATTTCTCGCGAGGTTTATTTGTTTTATTTTGTTTTTGTTTTTTGTTGTTTTTCTTTCATATTATATTTAGCTTTTCGAATTCATCTTTCGTATAAACTTTCGGATTTCACTGTCATTTTTGTCGTCTATTAAACACTAATTCTGTACATACTTGATTTTGACGTCTCCAATATGTAAGTTTCTTCTTTGTCTGCCCGTCATGCTAACGACCAACATTCTACCTTCTTACTTGGTTAATTCTTTTTCTTGATAACTTACAGTGTCAAAGACTTCCTTGTTTTCTTTAAGTTTGACATCAACGCGTTCTCATATGTGTATCTTATGCTAACATTGCCATCATTAAGAAATTCACGTAGAATTCTAGTTACCTAAAGATTACTTCGTTGTATAGATTGAATAAATCCGTCGAAAAGACAAATCTTTCTAATATTCCGTTTTCTATTTCGCCATGTTTTTTTTTTATCTACGTCTACAGGCGGTTGGTTCCTATTGAATGTTCCGGATTATTCTAATATCTTTCCCAAATTATAGATGGGTTTTCTATTCTAAAATATAAAACAGACATTGACTTTAGAGATTCACCGGTTAAGCAGTCTGCTTCGTTTATTGAATGAATGTTATTCTATCATTATGTTAAAAATAAACGAACGAAAGCCCGTGTTACAAGAACAAAGGAACATTTATATAGTACATAAGGGAATACATATATGTATTTTATTTTGTATATTTTTATTTACTCTACTTGGTTTCAGATTTTCGAAAAGAAGTAAATATATAAATGGTTTTCGATTTTTGAAAAGAAGTAAATAAATAAAAAACAAATAAAAATTAATCCAAATAAATAAATAAATAAATGAACAAATTAACAAATCGCCCCAGCTAAAATAACCGTCAGAACTAATAACAATAAGCATAAATAAGCAAAAACAAGTAAAAATAATAAATCCAAATAAATAAATTAATTAAAACTGCCCACCTCGTCAAAATAACAGATTAGACTACAGTAAGCAATCTAAATATTGGATGAATAAATAGCCTCAATTATCTTCCCAGACCAAGACTATTAAATAAGCGATGTAAGCAAATCTCCCCCAATTTTTTCTTACTAGATTAATAAAACATCAAAAACTGAAAAGAATAAATAATACAAAATGAAAATGAAAAACAAATAAATTAACCCAAATAAATAAATAAACAAACAAACCACTCCCGCAAAAATAACCGCCATAATAGATTACCCACAATGTACCACTGACCCATATATATAAATAGTCATGGAATAATCCAAGATTCGCGGCCTGACGATTGCGCCTAACATGTCGCCTCTGAATGTTGACTTCAATGTTCACTTATATATATATATATATATATATAGTAGGCAACATATTTTCATTCAATTTGATTTGGTTAAATAAATTAGACGTATTATTATGTCTATTTATTTTAGTTTTAATCCTTTCAAATTCACGAATTAATTTCTTTACAGTTGTAGAAAATTGTTCAATAAAAATAGTAAAATATTTTTCAAAGAATTTTTATTTTCTCAAGTACTTTCAATCTCAATTGAGACCATCTTCAAGGGGTTAAAATATTTTTGAATGTGTATACTATAGCCCCATATATTTAAAATATTTTTCACTGTTCGTTTATAGCGTTTCAAATTAAATTTTTTTTCAGTTATGCAAACATGTTAATCTTTAAAAAAAATAATTTTTTTTAATTATAATATTATACTTTAGTATTTTATATAAAACTTTTCTGCTACAAACATTTAAGAAATTTGTTTCTATATTCATAGATTTATTTTTAGTCGTAAATCTCTAATATAAAGGGCTTCCAGCAGTTTAAGTTTTTGCTAATTAATATTTTGATGAAGGACTGACGTATTTTAGACTAATATGTGTCTAAATTATGAATGTAAACATGAGTGTTCCTTTAAATGTCTTGAGATCGAAGTTTACTCATCAACGTCTCAACGTCGTCGTTGTAAAACCAACATATATGAAAACAACATAAAAGTGTGTATGTGTATATATATATGTATATGTATGTCTATATATGTGAATGCTAATTCCTTTTTATAAGACAGTATGTGTATACGGGGGATGTAGATACTCATGTGCAAGGCTAACGGGAGAACGCACGCACACACAATACACAAAAGTGAAAATAGATTTGACAGTCTGAAGGGTAATGTAGGGATAGGAAAACATCTCTCATCAACACATCTATCATCAACACCTTCCAGGCCAAACCTAATGGGTTTATTACCACTTAGGCAGAAATTCACTTTTGCCAACAGTCCAAAAATGGGATCTAGGCTCATTACAAATGCAAAACACGAACATAAGGTAGATTTATTCCATTTATTTGCCTGAAGAAGGTCATGAAACCGGAAACAAGTGTAACAGAAATATGAAGAATAAAATATAATATATGCATTAAAACAAATACACATTATAACCAAAACGTTTGCGGTTTCTCTCTCTCTCTATATATATATATATGTTGTGAGACCGTAACATACCTACAACATGGACTCTTCCAGGACTATATAAAGTATGCGATATAATACTCTAAGAGAAGAGGAGGAAAGAGAGAGAGAGAGAGAGAGAGAGAGAGAGAGAGAGAGAGAGAGAGTATTCTAATACCGTAGTATCAGCCGCGTACGACTACCAATATTGGACACTAGCACATAGTAAGCTCCGCTTACACTTACACTATCTTTGTAACCTTTTTGTTTAATATATCTTTCTGACCTCTAATCCGTGTTCCGTGTTTTCCTTCTGTGGTCCCAACTTTGGGACCACATCAATGTGTGTATATATATATATATATATATATATATATATATATATATATATATACAGACTCTCTTGTTTAACTAAGCACTATTTCTACTATAGAAAATCCAATAGTTAAATTTTTTTTATCGGGAGTAGCAAGAATTCCTTTAAAACTCGGTGGTACCGATATGTATTATCTTTCTTCAACAACGCGTACAAAAACAGGACGTCCCTTTCTAAATATTTTTGGAACTTAAAAGAAGTAAATAAAACCCCTACGTTAAAATGGAAAATACTAAAAAACTAGAACTTGTAAATCTTTAAATCAACCGCGCTTCTTATGTTTGCATGAAAAATTAGAGATTATCAAATTTTTCTGACAAAAAATCTCTCTTTAGCCAGAGGAGTGAATTAACAGTAAATTGCAGACACAGTTTATTTTTTACATTAAAATATAGTTAAATGTAAAAAAAAATACTTATTACAATTTCTTATAGCCATAATTTATTAGAATATAATGGTTCGCCCTCTACGGGTAATTACCTTATTGTGTTTATTCAGCTTTCATATTACTATGTATTGCCGTCCAGCTGGTATTATTAATATATTATATAGATGTCACACATTTATAATTTTATCTAAAGGCCCCTTTAAGCTGCTTTCTGAATATAATTTTTTCTTCTGTTAACTTTATTCTGTTTAACTTATCCCTCCATTCGATCCCCTTTCATAAAACTGAACATGACATATTTCTCTACAATCATGATACATTTATCGCTGACATATTTTCGGCAATCGCCAACGATGGCCTATCTATGTTCCGGTTTATCATGGCATAAAAAATAACTCATACACATCCAACCTCTGACCTTACTTTTCTATTTAGCATAGATCTGACATTTAATTGGTTAATCAAGACATGCCCACAAATCTAATTTTAATTCTGACCTTATCTCGCTGCCTTTAACTTGCGGAAAATAGATAACAATTTGTTTTAAATTTCCTTAAAATCATTTAGTCACCAGTTACTTACCATCGCCTGAAGAAGTACAATCAAAGTATTGAAACATGAAAGCATTTGTGTAGCGATTTCAACATGTTTTTATTATAATCTCTTATAAATAAAAAAAAAATTAATAATATATTGCTCTACTTTGTATTGAACACATTTTTAAAAGTAAATACTACGAACACTCGAATTTTACTCCATCTGTTCTTTCTTTCATTTGGAAATATATATATATATATATATATATATATATATTGTCAGTTTGATTTATCCAATTACTATTAGAATGAATTTGTTTTCTCGGCACATGCATGAAGACTTCCGATGGTTTCACAGAGGACACAAGTAAATTACTAACCAACATTTGACTACACAACCATCAAACTGACACGCTCGAGTCGCCGGAAATGACAGACTGTTATGCTTAGAGTACTTCCGGATCCCCAAACTTCGATTGTCTCTGTTGATAATGTACAGTTGCGTCTGGCGTAATCTCGTGTCACACAAATTTGATTCCAATGTTTTCCACCAATTTCGTTTCTGAAAACCACAAGGACATTGCATTCTTTTGAACACAGAATTTAAACATCGTTCTCCCATGTTAACGGGTTTCAAGATCCTTAATTATTCCACGTACGACAGTCTTTGTCCAGGAAGTGGACAGTTCTTTATAAGAATCCCGTGACACTACTGAATACATTTTCTTCCATTCTTTTTGCAGGTGCTCATTTATTCATATTACCAAATAGCATCATTATTTATTCACATTAACATATAGCATCATTATTTATTCATATTACCATACAGCATCATTATTTATTCATATTACCAAATAGCATCATTATTTATTCATATTACCATACGGCATCATTATTTATTCATATTACCAAATATCATCATTATTTATTCATATTACTAAATAGCATCATTATTTATTCATATTACCAAATAGCATCATTATTTATTCATATTACCATACGGCATCATTATTTATTCATATTACCAAATAGCATCATTATTTATTCATATTACTATATAGCATCATTATTTATTCACATTACCAAATAGCATCATTATTTATTCATATTACCATATAGCATCATTAATTATACACATTACTAAATATCATCATTATTTATTCACATTACCAAATAGCATCATTATTTATTCATATTACCAAATAGCATCATTATTTTTTACATTGCTAAATAGCATCATTATGTATTCATTTACCAGATAGCATTATTATTTATTTATATTACCAAATAGCATTATTATTTATTCCTGTTATCAAATAGCATTATTATTCGGTCAATGAAAGATCGTTTTTTCGAATTTTCTGTTAATTTAAAACGTCTCTAAATGTATTGACACCTGAAAAAGCAATTAAATTTTTGATTCGAATAATTTCCCGATTCTTTAAAATTGGGTGAACTGCTTATCAGATATCTCTGTCGGATGAGCGATTCCAAGAAAAGTTTTCATGAAGAGAAATATACAAATGTAGATAATAGAGCATGTTGACATGTCGGAATGTTTAGCTAGTTTATCTCGTTAGATCACTTACAACATGATAGTGAGTTCGATCCTCACGCAGTGCTCCACACATTTGTTATTCTGCCGTGCTTAGGAAATGAAAGTGGACTTCGATGTGGTGTAATGGTTATCAAGCTTATCTTGTTAGGTCATTTACGACCTAATAGTGAGTTCGATCCTCACTGGCTACTCCATAATTTCTTCTAAGCTACACTTAAATCGCTATACCATAGGTGGAAATCATCTCGATAATATTATATTGCGTTGCAATTGTAACATAGAAACTGACTTTCTGTCTAACTACTGAATTTTATGATTAAATTTATTTTAAGTGTTATTTTCATTTTGGTTGTTGAAGTCGATATGACCACCATAAATTACCTATCCCAATCATCACAAACATCGCGCACTGGTTACGCAAAATTGGAATGAAGAACATTTGGATGGCTGCCAGATTTTTTACCGGTCTCTTAAATTGCCAGATTTAAACACTATAAAACATTAATGTGATATACTTTAGATCTCACTAAATTCCCTGTAACGATACCGAAAATACGCATCTCATTTGTAGACAACTCACAAAATTTACTGGATATATACAGGGTGTCCCAAAAGACACCAGCTTTTTTTTTTAAATTGTCACATTTAGGATATTCATGTCTTTTTATTTCTTTTTTTTTGTCAGGACTTAGATTAACATATTGAAATTAATCTTAGAAAAATTCACAACTGAACAAAGAAACATTTTTTAAACATAATGTAACATTTGGTCATCAGATAATTTCGCGAATTACCGAACTCTTATAGTCACGACATTCTCCTGATATGACGACCTTCGATTATTTTCTTTGAGGATACCTTACGGATCGTGTAGACATCAAGAAACCGCAGGCAGTTCTGAAACTTAAAGATAAAATCTCTACAGAAATTCGGTCTGCAAGCAGTAATAAAAGATCGTTATGGAGAATTCTTTTGCTGTCTTTGTGAAGACGAAAATAGAGGACGTTTCCACCTTATAATTTTTCAAGATTAAACGGAAATATATTCCCAATGTTTATAAGGCCATTCTGTATGAAACTATTTTTGAATCATCAAAAGAGTTTAAATTGAAAAGAGTCTAGATTTTGAATCTCTCTATGATTTCTTGGACCCATGGTAGATACTGCAACGACACCAGCACCTGTATTCATTATTCAGACGTCAATAGATTTGATACTCACAGGGCGAATAGAGGGCAAGAGAGACAAGGGAAAGAAACGGTTGACATAGCTAGGCTTAAGCAAGTGAATGAGAGAACAGGATCTGGGAGAAGTAGCAAAGAGACAAAACTTATTGAGAGTTACAAGGGAAAGGGTGAAATGGAGAGAAGGATGGAACACGGCACATAAAAGAAGATTTAAACACCATTATGTAGGAATGGATATGTTGAAGACCCTAATAAATTGCCGCGAGTCTATCCAACCTATACAAATTGTAGAATGTATCGGTGTTGTATCCCCTTTGGAACGACGCCTGTATTAAGGAAAAAATGGAGGTACTAGTCTTTATTGAGGAGCGATCTTTAATTTGGGGGCGCATTTTGTTTATATCTGTAGATTTGGTGAAGATGTTAGATAAACTGAATTCACAAACACAAACACATGCTCTTGCATAAAGTTAAAGAAAGAAAGAAAGAAAGAAAGAAAAAAAGAAAGAAAGAAAGAAAGAAAAAAAGAAAGAAAGAAAATATACTTCGATTTGGAAATCAATTCTTTGTAGAGGGAGTTCAACTGGTTGCCGGTACAACAGTAGACTCATATCCGAATGCGCTGACATAAAAAAAAACAAATTTCAAGGCCAATTAAGTGCTTCAAACTTGGGGTCTTGTGTCATACAAAGCAGTAAGCTTGTAAATACCGATATGGCAAGTGTACTTTCAGCGATGTCGATATTTTCTACTCAACGTAATTGAAAAGCTGATTAGAGACACAAAATTTAATAATAGCGATAAACAGGATATAATTAAAAGAAATAAAAACGAAAAAAAACATCTAAGAAAGAGAACGAAATTCGAAAGAAATAAAATAAAAGATAACAAGAAAATGAGAAAACCGGTTATCGCTCATCAGCACTCGATCGAGATAAGTAAAGTTTTCGGCAAATGTTTCCTTCTTGTTGTTGTGCCCGACACTTGTATGGTGATTGTCGACTTTTCGACTCATGCAATGACAGACCGTGTTTGAAGATCACTTGAGCTGGGCGGGA